GTCGAGCTACCCCAATTTAAAAAAAAAGAAGTTTCTACGATGAATAGAAGCCGAGATATTGCAAAATTTTACAGCGCGCATCAATTTGAACTGGATTTCACTTTTCTTTTACTTAGCAAGTATCTTCTCTTTAAAGGGCTCGTGAGTCGTTAATTTTTCACATTTTTCAATGCAATTCACGGGAAATCGTAGTTTAGTCGTAAACTTTATTTTGCGAAAAAAAACAATTGCGTTACGATTAAAAAAAAAATTCTTATGGCTCCTGTTGGTCGTAGAGGGTGCTTTAAAAAAAAAAATGTTGCCAGCTATCCATTGCATCTAACGAGCGTTCAAATAAAAACGTGGTCAAGTTGGTTCTGAAAATTTGGACGTAGGGCGTAGCGTATAGCAAATGAACTTAAACGTCATCTGTCAAAGCGCTATATCGCCGCTATCAATTTGAATATTTTCGTTTTAAAAAGCGTTTAAAATGGTGTTTTCTCAAGAACAAAAAGTGTTTATCATAGAGTCCTACTTTAGAAATGGACGCAAGATTGATGGAATATGGAAGTATTCTATTGAGGAATGTTTCATAGAATTTCAAAATCAATTTCCCGGCGTTGTTGAGTACAAAATTTTTCAAAGTGCAGTTCAGCGTTGTGTTAATGTTTTTCGTGAAACGGGCAGTGTAACAAGAAAAGAAGGAAGCGGCCGACCTAAAAAGCGGACTGAAGAATTAAAAGAAAATGTCCAACAAATAATGGAAAATGCGCCAAGAACTTCTGTACGTGTTTTATCACANACAACGACCCTCAAGACTGGGTCTGGAAAAAGTATGGACAAATATTGATGCCTGTTCAAAGTTCAAAACCTCCAGCACCCCCTGAGCTTCTAAAGTTGATATTCTGCCGATGCAAAGGAAACTGTGGAGCAATGTGTGGATGTCGGAAGACAGGCCTCAAATGTTCTACAGTGTACCTGAATTGTTCTGGGGAGACATGCAGCAACATAATGGAGATATCAAAATTGATCGAGGAGAATGATTTTAAAGATGAACTGTCAACAATGACGCCACTTCATTCTCCATCCTTCCTCAACAATTCAATATTGGAAGCTCAACCAGATCCTGAGTCGCGGCCTGGCCTATCAAAGAGACTGAGGACACAGTAGATTGAGAAATATATTTCGATATATTTAATTACACTAATTATTATGTCAGCTAGAAAATGTCCGTGGATTTTGCCTACTAGGGATACGACGTAAAAAATAACGCGCCACCAAACTCTACCTCGTAGGGGGTGGGGAAAAGAGTAAATAACTAATTAACAACATTGCAATGCCAATCATTAAAATGTTTCTTATAAAAATAATGGAAAGATGAGAGAAAACTATGCCTAATAATTCATATTAATGTATACTTACTAGTACTCGAGAATATTGTAAGTTTCGCATCGTTGTAAATAAATCAAATTTGAAAAAAGTTTGTAATGGAAATTATTCCTTGAAAACCCCTCTATCAAAATGCTTTGATGTAACTTTTTTGTAAAATGAAAAGAAAAAAAGTTATAACGACCAAAAGAAAATTTTTATCTATTTTCGTTAATAACTTTGTTATTTTTAGTTCTACGACTAAAAGTTACGGAACCAAATTTGTAGAGAATTTAATTTGCAATAAAATGTGTGTACAAATTTTCTGTGCGACGAATAGTTTGCCCGATATAGTAAGTAGTAGTATAAAAACCATTCCCAACCCTTTTTACAAGATGGCGGCCGATGCACAAGGGTTGCGACCCCACAAACATGAATTTAACTTTACACTAACCCCCTCTTGACATCTAAAAAATAAAATTGCGTGCTCTGACTTTTGCACGCTAAGCCCAAAAGAGTGTAACATTTCAATGGACTATCTCATTTTGTAGATAATTGTATTCCCTACAAGCTGTCTGAGAGTCACTTTTCGCCAAAAGTGATGGTTTTTCCTGCAAAGTGAAAAAACTGTTTTCATCACTTATTTGTTTAAATAGAAAAGTTAGCTATTAAAATTTTTTGACTCACGAGATGAGAGATGTCTTGTATTATGTTCCTTTAGACAATTTTACAATAATATCGCGGATAGGAATTTTTTGGAGTTTCTCTTTTTTTTTCGCTTATTTTCCTGGTCTATAAACTAACATCTGTAATCAGAACATACATTTTTCAACAACGCAACGAGCAACGAGCCCCTCTTACTCTAATTAAATCGGAGGCGATAAATAAATTAAAAACAATCCGCGGGGCCCCTCGGAGCCCGACGCGACGTGCCGCACTTAATAATAATGGTTAGATTTATGGGGGCGACGACGGCGGAAAAACTGCGTCTCCCCTCGCTTGAGCGATAGTTTTTAAAGCGGACGCAAATCGCGAATGTGCAGGACTACCAGACGGCGATGAAATGGAGTACGGGGCATTAGTTAACATAAAGTCGTAAAGCTTCGAGTGAATTGCCTTGGATGAGGGCCAGGACTACCCGTATGTCAAGGAGAGGGAAGGATATTAAAAATCGGAGGCCACTTTGTCGGGGCGGAATTGTTTTATTTCTTTACGGATTTTGTGCAATTGTATAACCTTAAAAGGAAATGGCGAATGATATTTTGCACTCATCCTTCAAGGAAGAATGTCACGTCAGTCAATCGAGTCGGGAAGTTTCACTGAAAACAAAGTAGTTTTTTTATATTTATTTACCGACTAAACATCTTGAGCAACAATACTAAACATACATATTCGTTTTTGTAGACGTCAATGTGTAACTGCTCGCGATCTGTTCGCGAGGTGTACGCGAACTGATCGCGAGCAAGACTTGTACTCGTGTGCGAACTGTCCGTAATTGTTTGATTGTGCACGAAGCACCTTCTGGTATTATCTCCTTTTGCCTGCCCTGACAGACAGGATTATTACGGGGCACTGATTGATTTTGTTAATGAAACCCTTGGCTTGATTTTTCACTTATTTAATGACTTATAATAAGTTCTCACAAGGTGTCTTAACACTACTCTAACCTAAACTCTTCTGTCTATGTGTGTATAGGGCTTATGTGCCAACACCCTAGCTTTCGTCCCACACCTCAAAACAATGAAGAGGGGGGTTGGACGGAACCTTATGGCGCGTGGCGTAACAGTAATAATAATATGTTTACCGATGGATACGCTGCCAATGTTACACGATCTGATCGCGATCTTATCGTAAACATTTTGCGAATAAACTATTAGGTATTCGCGAGCTATTCGCGAACGGCGAACGTACCTTTATAAGTATTCATCATGGTGATATATTACAATCCGCTTTTATTTTATAAGTATCTGTAATACAAAATAGCACTCTATTTTACTTTTGTATCCTCATTCCCAATATTACGCCTTCATATTGGACAGTATTCATGTGATAGATTGAAGAAGATCACAGAGCCATTCGTCAAGTATAGGTATACTTGCCACTAAGACTTGCTTTATAATTATCATTATCCGATTGACCAAATAACAAATACAGTTCATAACCTGAAATGGTCATCATACAAATCAAGGCGTACCAAGTCATTTACAAATAGTAAAAACAATATTGGTGTCAAAACAGATCCTTGGGGGACACCAATACTTTTCCAATCCACTTTTCAATGTATCTAATACTCTACGACACCATTTGTTTGCTGTTACAAATATAATAAAAAGTTCTTTATCCACAGGATTAAACGTCTTGCTGAAGTCCATGAAAAGCCCTGCATATTTTTATCCTTGTCTAATAAACTGCATAACGTTATAAGAAATTGTTTTATTGCAGTTTTTCTACAAAACCATATTAGCAGAAAAAATATTGGTATTGCAGCCCATATTATCCAGAACTATTCTTTCTAATATCTTTGGAACCGGACTCAGTAGACTAACTGGCCAATAATGATCTATTTGTTGATTGTCTCCATTTCAAGAGGTAAATTTATTGCAAGTACGAACGTGTTAGATAAGATTGCGATGCAAAACTGTAACAATGGCAACTTTTGTTCCTCAAGAATAATTGTGACAATATAAATTACATACAGCATTGTGTAGGAGACAAATATATGATTTATCATATTAGCCTCATTTTAATATGTCGATGAGGCGAAAATCGATAATTGTGGTCGACGTTAATGTCCGCATATAGGTAGATACGAAAAAGAGAAAGAAGACGTCGTTTCGGCGGCTTTCGTAATTAGGCGAACGACGCCGTTTACGTTATAGCCGTCGTCATCCTTAGGGTTCACTTCTTCTTTTTTGGCGAAGCGGCTTTTCTTGATTTTGGGGAAGACGATGCCGAAGTGGAAATGGAAACTGGAGATTTTGCCGTTTTGGGTTTTGGCGCTTTGGGTTTCTTCGTCGGACCCGCTTTGTTGGACTTCTTCGCTTTTGATGGAGATTTCGGTTTTGCCGCGGAAACGGACGTTGCCGTTCTAGATACCGCGGGTTTCTTTTCGGCGGCGGATTTTTTGGATTTAGTGGACGCGACGACTACGCCACTTTTCTTTTCCGCTGCAGATTTCTTCGTCTTAGGAGAAACTTTTTTCGTTGTCTTAACAGAAACCGGAGTCTTATCCGCGGATGCGGCGGTTGTCCTCTTGTTTACCGATTTTTTAGTTTTAGTTGTGGCGGCGGCGGCGGCGCCGCTTGTCTTCTTCTTATCGGCGGTTGAAGGAGATTTTGCCGATCCGGAAGAGGCAGAAGCTAATTTAAACGAGCCCGAAGCCCCCTTACCCTTCGTTTGAACGAGCATTCCCGACGCCACGGACCCTTTTAGATATTTCTTGATGAAAGGCGCCACTTTTTCCGCGTCCACTTTGTAGTTGGCTGCGATGTATTTTTTAATGGCTTGTAAAGAAGAACCTCCGCGTTCTTTCAGTCCTTTTATGGCGTTATTTACCATTTCGGAGGTCGGCGGGTGAGATGGCTTGGTCCTTGGATTTTTCGCTTTCTTCTCTTTCTTAGTCGGAGATTGGGTTTGAGGAGACGACGAAGAGGAAGTAGTGGCACCTCCGCCACCGGCGGAACCTGCGACGGGCGCTGCCGAATTCTGGGTATCCGTGTCGGCCATATTTCTCGATTTCCGTTAAGATAACTTTCCGAAATTAAACGATCGCTATTTTAAACTACGACAGTTCGATAATCTCGCGCGAGAACGACGACTAACAATATATCTGGTCGTAAAATAAAGTCGATGATGATGGGACAAAAAGTTCCGACGTGTGGTTTTGAACGGCTAGGTCGGACGGGAGACTGAACGTTTCGTATTTCGAGCCGGGTGCCAGCGGTCCGGCTTCGAATCTCTAGCCGTCGTGTTCGTACCGATTTCTTTTTCTTTTCTAGGAAGCTTCTTATCCGGAGGCAAATTTTAAAATAAGATTTAGAATGAAAGCATGTACTTCGAAGTGTTATCTCTATGCAATTTTATAATCGTTGTGGATCGCTCAGCTTTAATACGGTTTGTCTAATGTGAAGGTTACCCGCTTTCGCCCTAATCTTCGGCGTTATCGTCAAAAATGACCCACAACGACGTCATATTGCTTTAATTTATCCTAACGATTATTTAATCGCGAGTATCTATTTTCGAGAATAAATATAGTTTTTACCGTAAGTTATCGTTTTTAAGGACTATATTCGTAAAAGATGAACGGTGTCTGTAAGTGACGCATCTCTTAGGTCTCGCGTATTCGTATCGTTTTTAGAATTTTAGATACGACGAAAATAATTTAAAGACGAATATTCTATGTAAACGAAGTCTTCGTAAACGATAGAAAGCGCGAGGAGGGTCGTGGCACCGTATCCGTCGCTTATTGCATATAAATTCTTTTTTAGATATAAGCAAACGAAAGCTTACGAAAATAGTATGTCGGCGACGTTTTGACGACATCTTACTATTTGTTGAGGAAAAATGTGTCTTATCGCACATATTATGTGCGATGATCGGAGTTCCGATTTTTTTTAATCCTGCCCCAGATATTACGCGTGTATAATCACCAACTTCGCCGTTCTTGTCGAGTAGTATTCGTATTTTAGTTTAAATACAAGTGTGTTCTAATTCGAATAATCCTGGTCTTATGTTCGTACTTCTATCTATATTCATAAATACTCATCGGTAGGTATAACATTTCATGTCTCCCTTTGGCATTTGTAATCTTCGATACAATATTGTTCATGTCTATCCTTTGGCATTTGTATCGATACGATTTGCGTTGTGCCGCCGCCTTTTACGATCCTAGGGAATTTTTGTTACCGATTAAGGTATAATAAATGTCCTTTTTTATTACGTGTGGTTTGTCCCACAAAAAAGGGGTCAGTCGTAAATCGTTTTATCATTAAGGATAATTTTAATCTTTTTTGGAATGGATACTTGGTACGTTTGAATGTGGGAAAAGTTATAAATGAGATAAATTAATTTTATGTGAAAAAATCGACGTGCGAAAACCGACTCGTTAACAATTCTCGTCGCTCTCCAATATTCATCGTTGGGATTTTTTTTTCTCGTGGTAATTTGAATATTCTTATTCCGGTGAGATTTTNGTCTATAACAACTAATAATGTATAAGTAATTCATTATAACCTTTATTTCATAGATGCATAAGGTGTATTAAGCACCTTCCAGTTAAACTGATTGAATAATGAGTATGGAGATGATTGCTTTTTTTTAATAAAAGTTGTATATTGATTATAAAAGTTTTAATATGCGCTATACACATTATTCTAGATAAACAGTTTAATAAGCCCATTTCTTTCAGTGTAGTAATCTCGCGGCTCTCAAAAATACTGGTAGTAGAAATCATCACTTGTTGGTCTGAACTAGGGTTTCTGGTCGAGACTTCTCGAAGCGAAAATTCCCGGGAAATCTGGCCTTATTCGGGACGAGAAAAAAGTGTCGAGATACCGAGAAATTGAGAAATTTAAAAATCACGCGCGTCTTAAGTTCTTGACTGGAGTTCGTTTTGTTCATGCGTTCAATTCGTTTCTCGACAAATAACTGAGCGGTTAAAGTGGTTTCTCTACCAGCTCATGATTTATTTATTTTAAGTTTTTTAGGCTTTAGTTTTCTTTGATGATTCTTATTTTTTTAATGTACAGGGTGATTCACTATATTTTGACCCACCCCCTTTAACTTTTTTGTTTTAAGAGTTATAAAAAAATGTGAAATACAAAAGTTGCACGATTTTTTATGAAGTTTTCGAAAATGATAGTAGAAAAACAAATGAAGTTCAAACAAAATGGCCGCAGATGGTAACTTTGTTAATTTAAATGGAACACCCTGTATATTTATTACATATTTGGATAGAACATTTCTTGTCGAGCATAGTCATATAGGGTTTGTTAGGTCCATCTCTAATAATAGGCGAGATAATATTAAAAAACGAAATGATGTTTTTTTTTTATTAAGAAAATAAGACATCCTGTAATTGTTAGACCTCTTTCAGGCATTTCTGCCTTTTTTCCAATTACAAAGGATTTAGATTTAGTTGTAATATATTTTGACATATCGGACATTGATATAGTCCAAAATGCGTATAGGTATTTTAAGTAAATCTCACTAATTAGACCGCGTGGAGCCAATTACTCATGGACAATCTTATATATGTATGGTAGGTCGTGACAGTGGCAGGTAGTAATGTCATGATAACATTGTTATTGTTTGACAGTTTGTATTAGTATTTAATTAAAATGGGTTACACAGAAGTAGAAAATTGAAATATTATTAGGAATTAAAATAAACTATGGAGAATATCTTAACTACTCTATCTTAATTCCTATAATATTTAAATTTTCTACCTCTGTGTAACCCATTTTAAATAAATAATAATGCAA